ATTACTTTTAGCTCTAGAAAATTCTGAGAATGTCCGCACAGGCACAAACAAGACCCATATGTGTGCATTCACAGAGACCACGAAGAAGAACTGCTGGACACAAAAAGTGTCCTGGGTTGCCATAGATTATTTCTGCCCCCGGGCATAAAGAGTGGAAGGTAATGGCACTATCTTTGCTCCTACATGCCAGGAACCACTTGTGTCATTCTGGCTTGCAGATGTTGCTCAGGGGCAAGGCAGAAGGAACGGAGAAGATGCTGAAGGAACATTGAAGGGTACCAGTGGGGTGGGACATGGGTGGCGCTGCGGGTTAAACCACAAAGGCCTCTGGGCTGCAAGGTCGGAAGACCAGCCGTCGTAAGATCGAATCCACGCGAGGGAGTGAGCTCCCATCACTTGTCCCAACTCCTGCCAACCTAGCAGTTAGAAAGCATGAAAAATGTGAGTAAATAGATACCAGCTACCATGTTCTCTAGACTCACAAAGAAAGTATGGCTTAATAAGAAGCTGATGGTATAGACCAAGATCCAGGTCTATAGAGCCTGTGTCCTAAGCACACTCCCGTCCTGCAATGAGTCCTGGACCCTTTGTGCATGGCAGGAGAGGAAGCTGAACACCTTCCATATGCGTTGCCTCCGACGGATTATTGTTATCACATGGCAGGACAAAGTTCCAAATAGAGTAGTCCTAGAACGAGTTGGAATTTTTAGCATGTGCAGAGTGCTTTTGAAGCAACATGTTCCATGAGAGATCAGTTAACAATCCCTGAGGGAAAAATGGAATCCCAAACCTCTGATTCAAACCAGGGATGCCCCAGTTTAGAGAAGAACCATGAGATAACCCAAATGGCTGATGACGTTATACCTAATGATCCTTCCTATACTGAGGAACAGATGGAAGATAATACTTTGAAGGATTGTACTACAAAAGCTAGAGAGAATCCCATCCCACTGACCCCTGAACACCCAGAGAGGTCTATGACTGATAAAGACCTGACGTATAGAGAGGGTTTACATTTGATAGAGCATGTTAAGAGTGCTTTTGTACTAACTCACTCACAAGGGGGCCAGGAATCATCCACTGCAGCAGAAATGGATAAAGTAGCAGAGGGAAGCCTGGAGAGAAAAAGTCCCTTGGATAACCAGCTTAATAGTGGATCAGAAGCTGATCTCACATTTTTGAAAACCCCAAATAAAAATAGCTTTGCTCAGGAGCAGAAGGAGGAAATTAGTTTGGTAGGTTGCTTTGAAGCGGCCACCAGTACATCCATTTTATTGTCTCCTCAATGCCCTGAGAGATCTTGTCTGGATAAAAGCAGTACATCCATTTTATTGTCTCCTGAATGCCCTGAGAGATCTTGTCTGGATAAAAGGTAAAGGTTCCCCTTGACAATTTTTGTCCAGTCGTGCCCGCCTCTAGGGGGCAGTTATCATCCCCGTTTCCACGCCATAGAGCCAGTGTTTTGTCCGAAGACAATCTTCCGTGGTCACATGGCCAGTGCGACTTAGACACGGAACGCTGTTACCTTCCCACTGAGGTGGTCCCTATTGTTCTACTTGCATTTGCATGCTTTCGAACCGCTAGGTTGGCGGGAGCTGGGACAAGCGACGGGCGCTCACTCCGTCGCGTGGATTCGATCTTATGACTGCTGGTCTTCTGACCCTGCAGCACAGGCTTCTGCGGTTTAGCCCACAGCACCACCACGTCCTTGTCTGGATAATGAGCTTTTATATAGAGAAAAGTCCTTAGTAGTCTTGCAGAGATGTTCGGGAGGAGGAGAGGGAACAAGCTTGTATGAGGCCCAGGAAGGAGCAGTCTGTACTGAGGACCAAGTAGGTAAACTGAGATCTATAGAGGAGAGTAAATTGCTTTTGGAAGGATCAGAACCTATTGATGTGTCATGCCAGCTCTGTAGGGCTAGAGCAGTGATGGCGAACCTATGGCACGCGTGCTACAGCTGGCACGCAAAGCCCTTTCTTCTGGCACGCGACAAACCTTTTGAAGTGTCTGCAGTTAGGATTCCCCCTTTCTCTTCCTGTTCTGGGTCCTTTAACTTCCTGTCCGTCCCCATGATTCCCCCTGAAACTGCCACTTCCTGTTCCGGTTCTGGTCGTCTGGGCGGCACGGCAGCCACTGGTTTCTTCCACACCCCCTCATTTTGGGCACTCGAACCGAAAAAGCTTTGCCTCCACTGGGCTGGAGAGTCCGTTAGCTCTGCATCTGAAATAGGCCTTAAAACCTTGCAAGGCAAACCCCTATCTAGCATATCAAAGAATGAAGAAATAGATTCAGATAACAAGCTCAGTGCATCTAAAACTAACCAATCAATGATTGCACTTAAAAGAAACTTGCCTGAGAATCTTAAAGTGACCCATGTTAGTGGTCCCTTACCTAGGGAAAACTTTGTAAGGAAAGTACCAGTGGGTGAATGTGTGAGTGAGGAGAAAGGTGTACGCCCTGACTTCTTAAAGAGGGACGCATCCAGAGATGTTCGGGAGGAGGAGAGGGAACTGCCTGCACTTTCCCCAGCTGAGAAAGTGAAGTCCCAAGCGAATCATAAAGCAGGCTTCACTAACAAATGACAAAGGACATCTGGTGGACAAATGAGTGGCCGATGACCACCAGTCGATGGACAAGAATGTGGAAGAAGGAGCCAGAGATCATCAGAGGGACGCTTGAGTGCCAGCAGTCATGTGACCAGCTGAAGGAGGCGTTAACGACCAGACCAGTCCACAGCACACCTGACCACACCTAGAGTGATCCTCACCGACCAGATAGGCGGGGTATAAATTAATTAAATAAATAAATAGACTACAGCGGGAGTGTAAAAGATTTGGACTTTGCAATCCACCATGTAAAAGGGACTCAGATAGTGCCTCAAAAGCCAAATGACTGATGGGGGGGGGGAGGAATAAACAATTGGCAATGTTATAATAAATGTTTTGTTTGTGTATAGTAAGGAAAAATTGAATATTGATGAACTGAAACATGGAGAACGATTCGAGGACTTTTGTAACACTGGAATGGACTATTAATTAACTGGTTAATTATCTATGCAAAAGTTTCCTGATTGTGTTGTATTCTGTAGGATTGTAAAATTAAATGTCGTAAGTGTACATCAAAAGGTAAAATATATTATTGAATTGTATTGGAATGTGTAAAGTGAGAAGATATTGTATTATAGATATATATGATGTTGTATTGTTTGCAAAATTGTGCCAGAGGGTAAGTAGTTGTTATACAATGATACATATTTGTTTAGGAGGAACAACGTGTTTCACCTCCCAAACAAACATATTTAAGGGGGGAGGCCTGTAGAAATCACCGTTTTGTTAGGTATACCATATTTTTCCATGTACAGTATAACATGCCCCCATGCTAAGACGCCCCCCACCTTTCTAATCCAAAATTAAGAAATCTAAGTGGGGCTTAGCAAGTGTATGGGGGAAGGGATCAAAGCGCTGCAGGATCGCTTTGATCCCTGTTTTCCCCTCCACTTGTTTTTGTTCTCTCCTCAGCTTACTTCCGTGTATAAGACAACCCTCAATTCTTAGTCTAAAGATTTGAGACAAAAGTACAGTCTTATACATGGAAAAAACGGGTAATTACACATATCCATCCAACAACAAAGACCAAAATCATAAAAACGGGGAAAGTCCCAAAAGCAACAGCAACAACAAATTCAACACAAACACAAACAAATGGGACAGCAAGGGAATAATAGGATGTTTCTAAAGGCCTTAAAAAGCTCAGATTTCACTCATTTCATGCATGTGAAAAAATTGCTTATTTCTCCTCTTCCCTCCGTAGCCTTTTTTCCTTTTGTGTCATGACTATAAGAAGAAAAAGAGCCAAGTTCCTGGATCAAAGATAACATGTGTACAATGAACATCTGAAGAACATCCGTGATTATTATTAAATTTGCTACACTTCGATAAATAACTTCAGTTTGCTTTTACAAGACAAGTGTTTTGGCAAACGTCTTTTATACTGTGGATGGAGGTAATCCACTACTGGTAGTGAGGGAAAACATAACTGGAGCCTTTGTGAGGGCACAACACATAGGTGCCTCAAGGAAGTGAACGTCGCAAAAGGCATTTTAAAAGGCCCTTGCATTTTTCTCCTTGTTCTCAGTCCATATTACATGAATGAGTTATCATTGTTTATCATTTATTATTTTTTGAGAAAACTAGCCTGAAATGAATGAGTTTCTTCTGCCCTGCAGCCTTATCAGCAGCTCTGTTCCAAAATAAGTGAAGTGTTCTTGGTACTGAAATGTCTTCATCATATAAGACAGGGGGTCTCCAAACTTTTCAGCGCGAGGGCCACATCATATATGTTCCACATTTTTAAGGGCCAAAGGAACACATGCGCATATGTCCGCCTGCCTGCATGCACACACTCCTCTATGCATGTATGGCCACATGCATATCTACACACATGCCCTGACAGCCTGTGATGTTCACTAGGCTGAATATACAGGCAAGGCTGTGGCCCGTGGGCCATAGTTTAGAGACCCCTTATATAGGACACTAGAGATGAGCATGAACCTCCAATTTGGCGATTCGTGCCAGCACGCTTATTGGCCAAACAGGTGTCTGGTGTTTCAAGACCAGACACTTGTTGGTCTTGAAGCACCAGACCTCCCATGGTGGGTAGCCAATCAGAGGCAGCGCCCTGAGGAGGCAGGACAGGGAAGTCAGGCCATTGCCTCCGAGGGACACTCAACAGAGGAGGCGGGGAAATGAAGCACTGAAGACCCGTTTGGCAGATAACGGAACAGACAACAACCACCCAAATGGTGGTTCCTGCACATCTGTATAATGTACAATTGATGGCCAGACACAGCACCATCTTGGGGGCTCTCTGCACCAGTCATGTGGATACTTCACATCAGCCAGAGATAACCAGAGTGTGAATTTATACTCACCAAGTAAAAACTGACTTTCCATTTGGCACAATTTGCTATGTCTATCTGGCGAATGAACCGAAACATGGTAATTATTTTAAGGCCAATGCTTTATTCCCACACTCTGCATTTCTGTTACAACCTATATGGAGACACTGTTCTCCACCATAGGGGGGTACAGATATTCGTAGCGGAGAGGGACGGGGTTATCCTTCTGAACCAGAACTTCGTTCCTCTTCCCAATTTCTTTGGAAATCTCCATCAGGCGTTTCTGGAAGGCCAAAATCAATTTCTTGGGGGCTTCCTCTGTGAAATGCTCGTCAGGGTAACGCCCCAGGGGGATCTGTTCAAACGAAGGAAAGAACGAGAGGAAATATATTATGCAGCGCATTGAGTAGACGAAAACAACATGGCAGCAGTTGGCAGAAACTGTTAGAGACCACCCATCCCATCATCAGAGCCAAAAGCACATTAGTGTTGGAGAGACATGACTGAGTCAGTCCTTCGTGTCTGAGAAACCTGATGTTAATAGAATCCCCTGCTTCTGTTCTAGAGACCAGGGACAAAACACAGCAAGCTCATCTCTGCATTCCCAGTTAAGAAAAACACACAATCAACCTTTAAGGATTTTCCTATTCTGATCTCTGAATGTTTCTACTGGGCTGTCCCAGACCACACCAAGCAACAATGGCTGTTCCTCGTTCCATAGCCCATGGGTCCTGATCTGCTGTATGGTGAGAAAGACGTATAGGTGAGTGAGCCTTCAGCAGTTGGCAGAAACAGTTAGAGACCACCCATCCCATCATCGGAGCCAAAAGCACATTAGTGTTGGAGAGACATGACTGAGGCAGTCCTTCGTGTCTGAGAAATCTGATGTCAGTAGAATCCCCTGTTTCTGTCCTAGAGACCAGGGACAAAACACAGCAAGCTCATCTCTGCATTCCCAGTTAAGAAAAACACACAATCAACCTTTAAGGATTTTCCTATTCTGATCTCTGAGTGTTTCTACTGGGCTGTCCCAGACCACATCAAGCAACAATGGCTGCTCCTCGTTCCATAGCCCAGAGGGAAAGACATAAGGGTGAGTGAGCCTTCCTATCCCTCCACAGGGACATGTCACTTTCTCTCCAAAAGCACCTACGATCCAAGCACTCACCATGTCTCCCGGAAAGGCGCTGAGCAGCCAGAGGGTGCTCAAGATGATGCATGTGGTGTTGATTTCTGGGATCGTCTCCCTGTAGTTGTCTTCGTTCGCCTGGCCCTTGGTGGTAGGAGGGGGTTTTCTCATGGAAGACGGAAAGTTGGGCATCCAGGCGCCAATATCAAACTGTCACCAAAAAAGGCCAAGTGTCAAGAGAAATCTTAACTGCCTTGGAAGACCAGAATGTTTGCTTGCTTGAACTGCAACTCCCCCAAATCCACGAGCTAGTAACTGGGCTGGCTGGCTGGTTTAGTAGTTTAGGTTTCTGGCTGCAGAGCCCAATGTTGGGAGTTCCGATTCGCCCCACTGGCCTTCCTTGGAGAAAAGCCAGCCTGCGCAGCCTTGGGGAAGCTCCACGCAGTCCCAGGGCACTCCCGGAAGAGGGGAATGGGAACCCACTCTGTACTTGGGAAACCTTGAAAAGGATCGCCATGAGTCAAAAGAGACTTGACAGTACATGATGATAAATAACCTCTAGTATTCCAGAGACTGGAACCGTAAAAATCAACTTAAGTCTCCTTCTTTCTCTTCTACATACACACACCCCACATCTTTTCTGCACCAGAGTGTTCATTATCAGAATGAACAGTTACACAGTCCTTCAATGGGAGGACACCCTTCGTTTGAGGACTGGCCTCTGTAAAGTAGGAGACACAGCCACCCTGCCTGTAGCAGTGGAGGACTGCCATCCACAGACAACACCGTTATTGGCAGGACAAAAATCGCCATGTTGTTTTCTTTGGGAATCCTTGTATTTGCAAAGCCAGGTCAAGCAGAGCCTGGAAAAGTTACTTTTAAGGAAGAAAATACCGCATTTTCCCTGTATAAGATGCCCCCATGTATAAGACCACCCCCACTTTTCTAACGTAAAATTAAGACATCTAAGTGGGGCTTAGCAAGTTTAGGGGGAAAGAGATCAAAGCGCTGCGGATTGCTTTGATTCCTGCTTTTTCCATTTGTGCTAAGCCCTGTGGGGCTTAGCAAAAGGAAAGGGAAAGGGATCAAAGCAAGCCCACAATTGCACAATCATTTTGATTCCTTTCCCCCTTATACAGCCCCAGGATTGCTTTTATTCTTTCCCCCCTCCTTTTGTTACGCCCCATGCAACTTAGCAAGCACATGGGAAAGCAGGGATCAAAGCGATCCGGCAGCGCTTTGATCCCTGCTTTCCTTTTGCTAAGGATTAGCAAGTGGAGGGGAAAGCAGGAATCAAAGCCCTATAGAAACAATTTGATCCCTGCTTTCCTATCCACTTGTTTTTGTACTCTCCTCAGCTTACTTCTGTGTATAAGACAACCATCAATAGTCTTATACATGGAAAAATATGGTACATCCCAAAAAGTCATTTTTTGCCAGATTTGAGGCCAAGAGATCTTTTCCAGACATTTCTTGGCATCCCTAGGAAGACTCGCCTCAGGCGAAACTCAGGCCCCTTAAAGTCATTATAAATGGCACCCACTCATTAACATGGATCACAAGATCTTTGGGATGAGGGTGTATGTACCCCTACCTGTCCGCTGTTGACAGCAGCGTGCTGGGCGGAACAAGTAAAAATCACCATAGTCAAGAACTTCTTCAGCTCTTTCACGGTGCTGAACGAGGAAGGGATGCCTGGAAGGGCAAGACGAGAACTAAATTTAGCCAATACTTTAGACAGAGGTGAGTCCTTGATAGGCTTGTAGGGAAGGTGCAAATGCTCTGTTTATTGCATGCCTGCAAATATTTGCAGAATATCAGCAAACTGGATGCTTTCTCTGCTCCTCAACTTTAAATGGTAACGCAAGTCACAGTTAAGCTATCCTGTTCCCATCTGTATTGGAGGTAACTGGGCAACATTAATGTGCACTGAAGAGCATAACAAGTTCGCTTCGATAATCACAGGCAGATACTTAACCACCACACCTTATTCGTTGCTGTTGAACATGAGACGGAAACTCCTGATGTTGTCATTTGAGTTCTCATAATGCCTCACCTCTGTCTAGGGCTGAAGACAGAGGCCCTCCAGAAGCCAGTCGTCCGTTCATCTTGTAGCAAACCTTGACCACCTCGGGGGCTCCAACCTACCTGAAGATTTCTCTCCCAGGAAGGCTCTGTTGAAGATCTCCTCGATCCAGGCCTGGAGTTCCGGATCTTCACTTACAGAGTGATCGTCTCGATAATACAAGTCAATGATGCCAGAGACAAAACTAACAAAAAAAGGGAAAAGGATGGTTTGGGGTAAAGGGTGGAGTCCTTAGAGACCGTTCCCCCCCCCCCAAGCTGGGGATGCTGGATCATTTTGTCCAGTCCATCCTTTTAGCCAACAAACATAATTTGCTCTTCCTGGATGCAGCATAGAACCAGAGTTTGGAAAAGTGACCATATTTGGGACTACAATCTCCCTCATTCATTCATTCATTCATCGTAAGATAAAGACAATTCATTCAACTTGAATTGTTGATCGAATGGTCTTTATGATTTCATTGCTGTTTTGCTAATGTCCTGTTTCATTGCTAGCTAATGCCCTATCTAGCACAGATTTAATTTTCTGAATTCCAAACAGAAGATCATTACCCCTCATTAAAACTTGGGACAGAGTTCTCAGGTAGAAGATTTCATTAAAAAAATTCTCTGGGAAATCTGCATGCAAAAACTCAGACACGAAGGTAAAATGTGTGCAAAGATGTATTTATTTGAGAACGTTGCAGGAAAAGGAAATGCTCATAATTTTTTTGCCTTTAAAAAACCTAATCTGCAAAATGTTGGAGGTATGGGACAGCAGGAAGCAGGCAGAAAATAACACAAAAACTAACACGATCTGGTTATTGGCAGATTTTATGTGCCTTGTTTCCGCCCCACCCCACCCCGCCCCCTACAGGGGAAGAAGCAGCACTGAATCATTCCCCCCCCTTTTTTTTAGCAAATTGATCCATACAGAAAAATGGAGATAAGGCCAGTATATCGTTTGAAATCACAGAGTGCAACGCTTTGCCAGCATAAGGTGCTGTGTGATCTCTGACGATGTTACACAACGTGGAGGTTGGCATCAAAAGGAAACCAGCTTCGCGCTTGGCAAAGAATGTGGCCTCGTTGCACAAGCTGAGAAAAAAAGGTTCCTTTTCTGAAGCAGAACAAATGAAGGGGTTACTGAGGGGAACTGTATGACTGAATTGAGGCCATTATGAGCCACAGAATGGCAGGCCTTCCTCTCGAGAAAGTTCATGAAGTTGATAAAACGAAGGTCGGCTTTCAAAAAGGACTAAAAAGGAATCCATTTGCCAGGGACCGACTTCTGAATCTCATCCTTTTAAACACCCCTTTAAATTCATTTAGAGGTTCTGTTTGATTAAAGAACATTGCTCTCTCTAGCTCTTTTTTTGTTTACTACAACCCCCAGAATCCCCTAAGTAGATAGCTAGGATATTTTGGAAGTGGTGGTCCAAAAAAGTAACCTCTCCAAGTTCCGGTAGATACAGACCAACGAAATCACCCACACAAGGTCCCATGAAGCCAAAACAGACCCAACGCCAACCCGCCCTTCATTCCACAGCCATGCCACCCCGTTGCCTGCCCCCCGCTCTCTCCCTGAGCCCGCCTGACCTTTCTGTGGCTGCCCAGATCTTCAGACCATCATCCTTGTAGTGAAAATTGGGCAACGAGGACACCCCCCGGGCCTCGAGGTCTTCCGGCAGGCAGAGGGAGGAATACGTCAGGGCTTTTGTGCCCTTCTGCAACAGCTTGACTAAGCCCTCATAGGCGATACCAGTGGCCTGGATGGAGCGAGAAAACGAGGTTCAACCTTGTAGAAGAACGTAAGAAGAACCCAAGCCTGAAAACTTAGGTGATGACCCAGGGGGTTGTCCCACAGCTTAGTCCGCTCTGGGAAAGGCGAGTGCGCTCCCCGCAACCATACTCTGTAAGTGCCAGAGTGAACCAGTCTATCAGAGTATTTGCAACTGCACCTTTTTTAGTTTCCTGTGAGGGGCTACTCTTTTGTAGGTGTGAGTAGGGTTGCTCCATTTCGGTTCGCTCCCAGCATGTTTAATGGCTGGGATCAAACCAAAGTAGCTGCCTGGCTGCCCCTTTGCGGGAGCCACTGGATGGTCTTTAGAAATGGAAATCTTCCTCGCCCATTGCCTTTGGAGGGCAAGGGAAAGGAAATCTTGCCTTTCTTTTTCATTGTCACTAACGTATCACCAATGCTTTCAGAGGGCTCTTTTTAAAGCCTCATCAAGTTTGGAACAAATAAAAAAAGAGGCAAAACTTCCCTTCCCCTCAAAAGGGGAGTGGCAAGGAGGATTTCTCTTTCTCTGTATAGCTAAGGAGCTCTTCCTTCTGTGCCTTGCCTAAACCACTTCATAATTTTGAGAAATAGGGAGCTTTCCTTTTAAAGGGAAAGAAATCTTGATCCCACCTAAACAGGATTGCTTGAGGTGCAGTGGGGTCAATTCTTTCATGCCCTTAAAGAAAAAAGATTGTGAGAAAACTGTTGGGGGGGGGAGAGAGAATTCTGTTCAACAGGCTCTAAAATAACCTCTTTCATATTAGCTACGAAAGGTAATGAGAAAACCCAACTAGGACATGTCAAAAGGAACTGGAAAGATAACTAGAAAATGTTTAGATCTATAAAGTGACGTTTCCACAGGTCAATGAAGAAATATAATTTTATTCCATCCTTGTTCACTAAAAAGTACCCAGTTACAGATTCATTACTTCACTTCTCTTGCATTTATTTTACTCTTGAGGTTTGGGGAATTCTTAATGTGGTTACCAGGAAATGCCACCACAGTGGTGAGATTCCCGATTGACGTACCTTATCAAAGACCCCACCTTTCCTTTCAAGAACGTGTTGATGTGAAGAGTGGAGCGCGTGTGGGGAACCAGGAGCTACAGGAAGGAAAGGAAAGGGAGTGGATTATGGAACAGGAGGCCCCTCTCCATGATTTTTCTGAGCTCTGTTCCTTAGACCAGCCATGGTAAGGGTGGATCAGAGCCTTTTACCTTATAGATTGGGTGGCAAAGGGGGAGCTGGCGAATCATGGCCATGGTGAACACCTCTCCCAGCAGGTGCGTCCGGAGCAGGTGGGTGAGAGCCTGGTGGACATGGAAGTCGGCATTACGGACCCATGTCTTGGCCAAGATCCAGTCCCATTCAGAGTCGCTGGGCAAGAAGATGGGAGACTGAGGACCGGGGCGCTGGGTCAGCTATGGGAGAAGGAGGAAGAAGAAGCTGAATAACATCAATCGCAGGAGGCTGAAACCTTCAGGGGTAACCTCTAAGACAACCTCCTCCCTCCTCACCATCAAAGGACCTCCAAACGAAATCGGTTACCTGGATGGCCAGAGGCAGGAGCTGGTCTTGGGCCGAGAGGTGGAGCAGGCACAGCGGGGCGGCCACGTGCTGCCGGCGTCCGTTATTCAGCCCTGCCGGGACATCCTCCAGGATGCGATAATCGGCAATGAAAATCCTGCCCTCCTGTAAGGCGTGCATTCCAAGAAAAGGAGAAACACAGGGCGGGTGAGAGGTTGAGTCACCATAGGTAAAGGTAAAGTTTCCCCTTGACATTTAGTCCAGTCGTGTCCAACTCTAGGGCATGGGGCTTATCCCCGTCTCCAAGCCGTAGAGCCAGCGTTTGTCCGTAGAAAAACACAGTTTCCATGCTCACGTGGCCAACGTGACTAGACACGGAACACCGTGACTTTCCCACTGAGACGGTACCTATTTATCGACTCGCATTTTTACATGCTTTTGAACGGCTAGGTTGGCAGGAGCTGGGACAAGCGACGGGAGCTCATCCATCGTGTGGGTTTGATCTTATGACAGTTGGTCATCTGACCTTTATTACTAGCATCCTCCAGCCACTTGGCCTGCTCTTGGGAGATTCCGGAAAGCCTCGTTTCCCCTCCTACTTATATGCACAG